CAACTTCTCAAATTGCTCCATCTCCTTATCCTGCAGTTTCTTCTAGCCATTTGAAAATGTTGCCTTATAAACCATTGGAAAACTAAGAGGTATTAATATAAAAACTTTTTTTTTTAACTTCTTAACAGCTTAGTTACTGCCTCTAAATAAAAACTCCTTTAAAGCTGCTGTGGATTAGGAATACATGATTTTGAGATAGTAGCTGCATTATTAGCCCTTTACTAAAAGGGACTGGCATTTTTATTTATAAATACCAAAGATGAAGAAGCTAAAAATTTTAAGTTGTGATAACTTGCTGTGAAAAAACCCTATATAGTAATATGTATTGTGCATTTTTAGTGCATGCGTTTTAAAGTCTTCTGAAACCTCAGATTGTTCACTCCTTGAGTTAAAGGTGAAGTTTTTCAAAGGCCCAAGGAGCAGTTGGGTACCTCATTCCTGTTGTCTTTCAGTAGAAGTTGGATGTCTTTGGATAGAGTCCTCTTGGACACCCCTTTCCAGTGGTAGGTTTTGCATTGTAAGCCTGCTTCCTATTACAGTTGTTCACCAACACTAGGAAAAAAACCAAAACAAACTACAGTGTTTTCTTTCCAGGATCCATACTTCACTGCTAACAGATTAAGACTTTTGTATGCCTGTTCCATCTCCCGTGTTAGCCAAACATTTTTCTTAGCTGCTGGCTTGTGTATTGAGGTTGTATGTATCTTTTAGCTTTTTTTTTGTTGTTGTTTTTTAAGCTGCAAGCAGTTGCTGGACTTCTAGGAGTAATTCCAGTCTGAATTTCCAATGGATCTGAACATGAGTTATGCTGCCAGTTCATCTCTGTATCAGGCCTAGCACAAAACTGCACTAAGTGTTTCTTATCACTGTGCCCTGACTCTGCCTTAACCTGTAAGTTGAAAAAGTGTTCTGTAAATATTTAAAAGCTGTTACTAAATTGCACTGTAAAACTTGGCAGATGTGTTGTGTGTTGCTGGGGAGCCAACTTTTTATGGAATGATCTTTGCATTGTGTTGTGTAAATAAAATCCTCTTAATAAATACAATTTTGCTAGCATGTTTTGGTTTTGTAAACTGGAGTCTCAGTTTTTTTTCACACTCGAAACTGATTTTACAATCAACTGCTTGGGTAACTGATAGGCTGAACACTGCGTTTCCAAAAGATGCACAGCAGACATGAAGAAATGAGTGCCCTATTAAAGCTGAAAGACAGTGCTGATGTTCAGAAAAATTAAACCTTTCTGGCAGAAAGGCCTCACTCATGCCTAGGTGTCTGCATTGTGTAAATGTCACTTCAGTTTACTAACTTCAGGGCAAGTTATTTTTAATCTTTTCTGCTTTCTATTTTGAAGAGAGGTAATAAGCAGTGAGCCAAGTGGCAGTGGAAGCAAAGCTATGACCCTTCATTTTTTTTCTACCAGTTCATAACATGCCAAAATCAACTTGCAGTTCTTATTTCATTGCTTCACATTTGCGACGGCTCCACTTGTGAGTACAAGTTCCTGTTACCACTTTAGTAATTTCACTAAATTCTACCTTGTTGAAACTCCCAACGCCTTTCTCGAGCTTCATCAAGAAAACCCTTGAAATACAGCCAATGCTGAAGATGGAAATAAAAGCCAGATATGTTTTCTTCCAAAGACAGAAGTAGGTACAAGTGGAGAGCATCTTTCACAGCCTGCTAACTAAAAATAGCACCTAGGGGCCTATTATAGATGCTGCATAGTTTGTGGGTTAAGTAGTGTTGTCTCATACCTGTGCTATGTGCTGCTTTTAGACCATCACTGCGATGAGCTGGTAACCTTTGAGGTCGTCCCAGCACAAATGGTGGTAACACTTCTGTGCAGCTGTGGCACGAGGTCCCTGACAAACCAACCAGGCTCTGTCTGATGGGAAACTACTTCTCTGCCTTTGGTGTCATGAGTCACACTTACTTTATGAAGCAAGGAAACAAAACTTTCTAGCAATCTATCCCCTGCCCATTCTTTTACTCCACATTTAAAACAATTTATAGAAAGAGCCAAACAAGCCATGTATAATTTATACTTTAATACAGAAAAGAAACCATACATCTGTAGCTTGTACACACCACAGGTAACACTTCAGTATATCTAGAATAAGACAAAACTTGACCTTGTACCTGAAGTAGGTGACCACAACAGAAGGAAGAAAAGCAAATGCATACTTTTTCAATTTGATGTAGTTTTCCAGTGGAACTCACTCTACTAAAAAAAATAAAATCCAAAATTCATCTTTAATTACTTGGGAAAGCCAATAAACTACAGCAGGCTTTTTGGAGTGGTAAAAACTGCACGGAAATCATGGAAGCTGGATACCTCCATCCCATGCTGAAGGTCCAATTGCTTACACAGAGTACCAACAAGCTCCTGCAAGACATTGACAGTCTTTAACTCAGGCAATGGCCTGTTGCAGTGCAGTGTCTGCGATCACCATTTCTAATAAACTGGGCAAATTCTTCAAGAGGCTGAACTTACACTGGACTGAGGGACAGACACTAGCATGATTTGTTTTGGTTGAATATGGTACTTGGCTGTCAGATCCCAGAAGGTGCCGTCAAAGTCAGATGCCTTGACACAGTCCTCTAGGGTAGCGCTCAACAACACGCACATTTCAGGTCCTTAGAGCAGAACATGTGTAAGCTCCAATGCCAGGTCAGCTGGTCAATACCATTACACATTTTCTTAAAACTTACACTGCTGTAAAAATAAATACACACCAAAACTCAAAAATATCTATAGGGCCTGGGGCAAGCTCCATCATTGCTGGGCAGACTCATCAGTGCCTTTGCTTGACTTGTGGGAACGGCTCATTATCAAGGCAAGTAATGGGTTTGGTCTGGCCCTTAGCTGCAAGGTTAATGGTCCATATGTCTTCCTTTCTCTACTACAAAAATAGAAATTCATCTAAAGCAATAATGGAAAGCGATTGCACACCACCTCTCTGCAAATACTGAAGGACACTTCTCTATACTGATCCAATGACACACAGGGAGGGTTTTTGAAAAGTAGTCAGGTGGACCTGGGCATCTGAAGCCCTGGGACTCTCAGGAGATCCTGAAGCACTTTTGGAAATCTTCCCATAGGCACTTATAAAAAGAAGAAATCTATTCGCTGCACTTAGGAAAGAAGCTAAGAACAGAAACACTGCAAAAAATGGAACCCGTATCCATACAAATGGGAACTAAATATATCAGCAAGTATATGCCTTGGCAGAGATTTTGTTACTTGTAACCAAAACGACACTCATAAACCTTCAGAAAAATTTGTGCTTGATATTGTCATGTTACTTACACTGAAAAAACCAAACATCCTTAGCAGCAAACGGTAACAGCCATCTTCAGTGCTAAGTGAGGGTGGCAGAGCACTGGAACAGGCTGCCCAGAGAGGCTGTGGAGTCTCCTTCTCTGGAGATATTCAAAACCCACCTGGACATGATCCTGTGCAACTGCTGTAGGTGAACCTGCTTTGGCAGGGGGGGTTGGACTGGATGATCTCCAGAGGTCTGTTCCAACCCTAACCATTCTGTGATTCTGTAAGTCTACCATACATTTTGCAGACAGACGGAGAATAATAAAAATTTGCTTGATGATGCAACCCTGACAACAAAGGATTAAACCTGCTACGGGAAGACTGATATCTACCTCTATTTTGCCAAGTATGACCAGGTAAGTCAGGTTTCAACAGCAGTCAATTGCAAGAGCAGAACTGACCTGAACTTAACCACTTTGCAAGGGAGCTCCCTTCCTTTTTGTCTTTTTGAATGGGTTTCAGCTTTTCTTTGCACCAGCACCATGTTTAAGTACTCTGCTTTGAGTATGTAAAACCTCTACATAGCTATCAGAAACGATGGCTTTGTAAGGCAGGCCCGTTCTGGTGGACGTGCAGCTCGGCTGTGGCAGTACTGAACTCACTGTGTGCTAATCAGGGGGTTAAGCAAGCCTACAGGTAACTCCATGCTGCAGGAACAGGACCAGCTAGGCTCTAACTAACTGAGCTAAACCAGCCTGGAGTGTATCTACGCTTACAGTCACAGCTTTGTTGGTCCTGAATCTGAAATGAACAGAGCCTTAATCACAGACTAGGATAATATATTCAGAGCATCAAAGGAGAATTGTTCCCAGGTATGTGTATTTTTCTCTACTGAAGGCTGCTTTACTATTGGTGTTTCTTACCTGCCTGACAGCAAAATGGTCCAGTCAGTTCCAAACTGGGAAGAAAGTAGCTGGCCTTTCAAAGCTGCAACAGTAGTGCGCTCCTTGGAGAGTCTATAGAAATTTTGACTAAGGTTGATGAGACCAAGGATTTTACTCAGGTAGTAAACTGTCTTTTCTGGGAGCTCCTCCACTGGCTTTTTTTTGTCTTAGCAGGGGGAGGGAGGAGACAACTGAAAGTCTTTAGCATGCACAGTTGCCTCTAGAAAGTTACTTATATCTATTAGGCTACTAAGCAGTTTTATTTTGTTGGTAAAATATCAACTACAGTCTCTTCTTTTCGGCTTTTTCCTTCAGCATGATCTACTTGTTTTACTGAACTTAACAGATAACATCCCTGAAAACAATGATTCCATCTTAAAGAGAATGGGAAATTCCTGTGAACAGGCATATGCTTCCTATCGAACTACTTCATCCTTCCCTAGAGCAGCAGTACAACATGCTGGATGCAAAGCCAGGTGGCAGTGTAAACAGATTCCTCCATATTCAGGATTTTGCTGTGCAACTGTGCTACATTTCTGCTGGTTGATGAAAGAGTATCATCTGTCCTGCTTTGATGTTCCGTCCTTTGTAACTGATTATCACAAAAGCAAAGCTAAGTGTCTAATGGTAAAGGAAAGCTTTGTCTTGACAGGCCCAGAATTGCCTCTCTCATGTCAAACGACGTTTCTAAATACTTCTGCTCTCCTTTTAGAAGTTTAGGTAAAATATTCAGCACCCATCAATCTGGAAGCCTTTGTAGTAGAAACAAACAGTATAATTTCTTTTTGTTTGAGGAGACTTTGCTTTTGATTGCACAATTAGACTATGGAGTGTGGCTCTCTATTAACATGCCTGAAATACGACAATGTAGTAAGAGCATGAACGAGGATAAAGCACCTTGCAGGAGTCTATGTTCCATCACCTGGGATGAAACTATGCTGAGATGTTCCCACATCAAGCAGGACTATCCAACCCTGAGCCGCGGCTAATCTGGTAGATCGTTAACAGCCATTTGGGAGAATGGTGCATTCAGCCTGTCAAGTTCATCTACTTGTGGGGGGTGATGCATTATAACCTCATGGTCCTCTGAAACGTCATCACCCACAGTGACTAGGTTTGTTAGAGATTTGCTCCGAACACACTGGAAATCAACATGACGGCTTTTGCCCTCTTCCTTTTCCCATGACATCTGGATGAATGGACGTTGAACGTAGTTGTATATCACTTCTGACCGGCCACCAGGCCTCCTCTTCACCTTCTCTTTACAGGTGGGATAGCCTGGAAACACAGACAGCCAGTCAGTTGTACTACACACCTCTGACTTGCACAAAGGGACGACAGGATCCCAGAACAGCAAGGTAGGAGTGACTATGGGGTCACAGGGGGCTTAGTAGCCAAATGATCACATTCCACATTTACCATTATTGGCTTACAAAAGACCATTGTCTTTTCCCTTGCAAAGGAGTCCAGGAAGGCTGGACATTCTTACAGTAGGAAATCTTAAAGGCACAGGTGCAGGCTGTCCCCATGTGCCAAAAGGCAAGCTGCTGGGGAAGACCAACCTGGCTGAACAGAGAGCTTTGGCTGGAACTCAAGAAAAAAGGAGAGTTTATGACCTTTGGAAGAAGGAGCAGGCAACTCAGGAGGATGACAGGGATGTTGTGAGGTTATGCAGGGAGAAAATTAGAAGGGCCAAAGCCCAACTAGAACTTAATCTGACTTCTGCCATAAAACACAATAAAAAAATGTTTCTATAAACACATTAGCAACAAAAGGAGGGCTAAGGAGAATCTCCACCCTTATTGGATGTGGGGGGAAACATAGCAACAAAGGACAAGGAAAAGGCTGAGGTACTTAATGCCGCCTTTGCCTCAGTCTTTAATAGTAAGACGAGTTGTCCTCTGGGTACCCAGCCCCTTGAGCTGGAAGACAGGGAGGAGAATGAAGCCCCCATAATCCATGGGGAAATGGGCAGCGACCTGCTACACCACTTAGACACATAGATGCTGGATGGGATCCACCCAAGGGTACTGAGCGTCCTGGTGGAAGTGCTCACCAAGCCACTTTCCATCATTTATGAGGAGTCCTGGCTAACTGGGGAGGTCCCAGTTGACTAGAGGTTACCAAATGTGATGCCCATCTACAAGCAGGGCTGGAAGGAGGATCCGGGCAACTATAGGCCTGTCAGCCTGACCTCGGTGGCGGGGAAAGTTATGGAGCAGATCATCTTGAGTGCCATCATGTGGCACATCCAGGACAACCAGGTGATCAGGCCCAGTCAGCATGGGTTTATGAAAGGCAGATCCTGCTTGACCAACCTGATCTCCTTCTATGACAAGGTGACTCGCTCAGTGGATGAGGGGAAGGCTGTGGATGTTGTCTACCTAGACTGTAGTAAAGCCTTTAACACCATTTCCCACAGCATTCTCCTGGAGAAACTGACTGCTCATGGCTTCGATGGGCGTACTCTTTACTAGGTAAAAAAGTGGCTGGTGGTGGTGAATGGAGTTAAACCCAGTTGGCAGCTGGTCACAAGTGGTGTTCCCCAGGGCTCGCTATTGGGCGAGTTCTGTTTAATATCTTCATCAATGATCTGGATGAGGGGATCGAGTTGAAATGACCTGAAAGGAGGGTGTAGCCAGGTGGGGGTCAGTCTCTTCTCCCAAGTAACAAGTGACAGGACAATAGGAAACGGCCTCAAGTTGTGCCAGGGGAGGTTTAGATCGGATATTAGGGAAAATTTCTTCACCTAAAGGGTTGTCAAGTATTGGAACAGGCTGCCCAGGGAAGTTGTTGAGTCACCAGGCCTGGAAGGATTTAAAAGATGTGTAGATGTGGTGCTTAGGGACATGGTTTAGTGGTGGACTTGGCAGTGCTAGGTTAACAATTGGACTTGATGATTGTAAAGGTCTTTTCCAACCTAAATGATTCTACGAAAAGAGGGTGCAGCATTGTGTGTAGTCGTACAATTAAGGGCTGCACAGCATTAGTCATTTTGTAAGCAAATATAGCTACTATAAAAATAAGACAGTCTCCCAGGACAGAGCACAATGTTCTCTAAGGTCCCTAAAGGAATGCTTGGATCAGCAGGTGGAAGCATTTGACTGCTGTTTCCTGTTTACTCAGTCCTAAAAAGACAGGGCTTACTGGTACACACTACTTATTTTTCACTTTGCTTTAACTTTAAGCCTCCTGGCCAATTTCAGTGTAACATGACAGAGGTGAAGGAACATGCCCAGCTTCTACTAGTTTCACGAAAATAAATGCCTAGTATAACACCGAGCAAAACAGGAAATGCCTAGAATCCAGAGGAAACCAGGCTTACTGACTATGGAGTCACCTGTTTTAGAATTTCCTCTGTTGAAGAAATACTTTACCTTCAATGCCAATGCGAATATTTTTCAGGCCCCGTTCCTTTAATACAGCTTTTGCAACATCACGGTTCTCAATGTACTTGAAGAATCTGTACAGCTTGGAACTGTAAAGGACTTGAGAAATAAAAAGGGTGATTAGAACCTACAAGGAGGGACCTTCTCCCCGTTTCTGACATGCTCAGCTGTGGAGGTGCCAAAAAACAGGTCTGTTTTCCAAGAATTACTTCAGGTGTCTGTTCTCATCACTGGGATCAGGTGCACTTCCTTGGTGGGAAGGTAATGATGCACATTACAGTCTGATAGAATGGGTGGCGATGGGTGTGTAAAACAAAGAGCATTCACTCACTAGGGAGGCAGGAAAATGCTGAGGGGGAGGTGGCAAACAAAGGGAAAAGATGCGGTCAGTGCTGTCATTACCAACACAGGCGGTCAGACCAAAACTCTAACTTTGGTTATCTGGTATCCTGCCTCCAGCAGCAGCCAGTTCAGAAGGAATATACGAAACAGGACTTCACATGCCAGCATCTCTTCCTGGAGGAAGACTGCTGTTTGGGCAAGGGGTCCTTTCCTCATGGCCAGATGTCTGGCTGTGCGCTGAACACGGAGCCCCCAGCCCCAGGGGAGAGCCCTTACTTTGTGAGTACTCCTCTCCCATTGGAGGTGGATGATCTTCATCCCAGTCCACGGTGTCTTCATCTGTCAGCACGACAATATGGCATTCACGTTCCCCTTTCCTTGCGCTATCCACCATTATAGGCAGAATTAGCTCCTCCAGGTAGCTGTCAAACTGTTTGTGAGCACCATCATTGGAGAGCTCATGTAACAGAGCACCTAACGAGACATAAATCATATGATGAGCTTTTTTTACACAGTATGAAAATACGTCCCAGCTCTACGCTTTCCAGATACATTCAAGTGTGCAGCTCGCATTCTTCTTTAGACAAACTCCTTAACATATGTTCAAATGCATCAACAGTCTTCAGCTCCAGAATTGGCAAAATCAGCTGTATGAGGCCACATTTCAAATGGGGTGCAAATTACACTGTAGAACCAATACATTGCCATTAAAAGAACCACCAAGGTCCAATCAGTACAGTGAAAACAGTAACAGTCTGAATAACTAATTCATTTTGATACTTAACTTGAATTTCCAGCAACAATCTCCATCCCTGAAAGCACATTTTCTGCCTTCTCTGCGATCACTCATCAGAGGACAGGGTAGGAAATTCCACCCACAGCCTGTGCTGTGATATCATATATCCCATTTCAGTATAGTGCCTTTCACAGATTTGCCTATGTTAAAAGTACTTTTTTGCCAGCATACCCACCAAAAAGCTGCTCCCAATGACATCCCTTCATGACCAGGAACTCTCGACTACTTTCCAACTTTGGTATCTTTGGTTCCTGCTCTGCCCGTTATCCTTTAGCTTAAATTATTCATGATTCTCTGGTACATTTCAGATAGGAGTTACAACCCCGCTTTTAACCTTCATTTTGTTTGGCTGTAACAGCAAGCTCTTTTTCTCAGCCTCTGTTACAACAGCAGACTAGAATTTTTACAATTTCAATTTGCTTTTTTGAGCAAGGTGTCTGCGCTCTGCAGGATTCAGTCACTTCACTTTGGATTGATGCAGCAAAATCGGAAGTCGTTTAAATGCAACACACACGTGAGTCCTAGTGGAGTCCATACTTTCACGCTTAAACTAAAGCACACTGTTAAGAACTGGACTGAATCAGGATCAGAGTGCTCAACGCCATGCAGATGATCTCTGAAGAGCTGATTTCTCTCCATACTTACTTAAATCTTGACATTTGATTGTGTTGAAATCAAAGTTTATGCAGAGGTAATCACATGTGTCTCGAAGGTCTGGGATGGAAATCCCATCAGGGCAGTTAATGATTCCGGTTTTGTAATAATCCTGCAAATAAAAGGACATATTTTGGAGAGAAAAATTAAGAATATCTTGGACTCTGATCATTTTTAATTAGTTCTTTGTTTTGTTAATCAACATTTGAGAGTTACAGAGGCTAAATATAGCTCTATGAACAGTAAAAACAGCCCTGCTTGTCCAAGAATCTACGTCTCTTTGCAGATCCTCTTGGGTCTGACAAACGATGAGCTCCAGTTAAAACTTTTCCCACGGCATAGGGTTTCATAACATCTCATATGTAATATGCATTTATATGCAATCACAAGGTCAGGACACAGCTCAGGAACTACAACGGCATGACACAAGAAAGGTAAAAGGCAACACGAGCAAATGTCTGAAATGTTGACTCATTCCAAAGTCTACTATAATTTTTTTTTTATAAACCACAATGCAAAACAGTAATAACAGAGTATGTCTCAGGGGGTGTGCAGCTGCCTGGGAGACGGTTCAGTTTTGCACATGTGACAAACATTGTTTTTTGGTTTTTTTTTTTTCAATCTGCAAACATCTCCTTACCAGCACAGTTCGGAACACAGCTGAGCTAATTCCTTCTGCGATTTCATATTCTCCCTTTTCATTTGGCCTGGTGAAATTATATTCTCTTCCTGGTCCAAACATTCTGAACAGATAAAAATCTACATAAGTGCACAAGTATATTTAAATGCATTCATTCTAGAGACCAATAGGTGCATTCAGGTTAAATAAAACCAGCAGAGACACATATATAGAGTAACTTGAAGCCTATACTCAAATCTCTCAGTAAATAAGCACAAGAGCTGTCTCAGCCAAGTCCTTCTATAGCTGGACTCTGTCGCTATAACTACTGCATTGTATGGAACAAGCCACAGCTCAAAGGAACAGATCATTCAGCCCTAGGTCAAAAAAATACCCTGGCAATAAAGCCCTTTCACTGACACTATGCAGGATAACCGCCACGTGCCTTTCGATCCCTTGTTTTACACAAGGGCCTGTGCAAGGGTCAGTAACCCAACAGAACCTGTCTCTCCCTTTGGTCAGAGATGAGTGAAAGTGCTGGCAATGCAGAAAATGAGTTGCATTAATAGGCTCCAACCTTTAAGCCATGTTACAGAGAGCTGAGTAACTTCTCTTTTGGGAGAGTATCAAAAGATAACAGCTGGAAAGAGATGGAGCATTATAATTTTCCCCGTTCTGGAAGGGAAGTTATCAGCTGTGAACAGATGTACGACTTAGAACCACGGCAAACACTTGGAGGAAAGGCAAAAGGAGACCACATCTAGCTATTAGTGCACACTGTCTGAAGGAACTGGACTGAAGGGAGAATGTTATCTAGAGAACTATCAACTCTCTCTACATCTGGTCACATTTTCAAGGCCTCACTCACAGCCAAGTTCAGAATGAGGTCAACCTTGCTTTGCTGGTGTATACAGATGAGATTGCAAAACAAACATTAGGGGTTTGTTCATTTTAGCAAACATTCGACCCCCTTGAGGTATCTTGAAAACAGTGGAAATCACTCACCTTCCCAGCATAGTATCAGGGTGAGCAGTGAAAATCTGTGGATTCACTGCAAAGCGAGTGCCATCTACCACAAGCGTCACTTTCTCTGGAGCCACTGTTTGTGAATTGCTGCTTGAAGGCAAAGCGCAGCATCCATGGCGTTCCTGGGTATTAAAATATTCTGACTGTCTCTTATTTCCATCTTGGAAGTGACAGTTGTGTGTGTCTTCAGGAAGACACAACATGCTACTGATCTGGGGACTTACGGGACAAGCAGTGTGCCGGCACTCAGAATCTAAACCTGAGAGAGACAAATGAATATTGCAAGGGTAAGATATAATTTACTGAAAAAAGTAATTTCATAGTAACACTTCCTAGTGTAAGGAGAAAACTGAGTCATACAATAGCGAAGGATGTCAATGTACATAACTGTCAGGGTAATGTTATATGACATAAAACTAGACTGCATTTTCAAATTGAGCCAGCAGTTGGATTTGGGATAAAAAATTTCCCAATGAACCATGATGCTTAATACTCCTTGTTAAAGCAAGATGGATTCAGTGTGTAACAAGCAGAAGCACAGGAATTAAACAAGGCCAGAAATACAGACACAGATTCCCAGCACTGACAACTGCTCTCACAGCAAAGCTGGAGCAGAAGCACGCACCACACGAGAGGTGGTTTAAGCCAGCAGTGCTCGATGCCTCGTCCATGGTGGGCACACAGCTCATCAGGACTGTCCAGCTACTTTCAGTTAATCTCTTTGGGACACCCTCAGGAGGAGCTGCAAGTTGGCCGGCCAGAGCATACCCACGCGATCACCTTGCCAAGACACCGAGACCCAAAACTCTGCTGTGGGCCGTTGTCCTTTAAACCAGCCTGGCAAAGGCAGGGTACATACTCCCCAGTGCAAACTGCCTTGGCATACTGGAATTTTTCCAAAACATAACACCCCTCAAAAAAACCCCCAAAAAACTCCCTTAAAGATTACTATAAGGTAAAGACATTATCCTTACCCTCAGTCCTGGGAACTGCAGCAGGGCTGTGACCTCCTAGCACCACATTACTTTCTTCTGACTCATGGACTGCTACAGTTACGTTTTCCACAGAGCAACTGGACTCCAGGTTTCTTGACCAGCCTGTCCCACCAGCAGAGTTAACATTCATGCTGGTCCTCCGTGATGTGAGGAGTTGGTTGCGTTTCCTAAGAGAAGAGCTAGGAGAGAAAATACCAGGTAGTTAGTTTTGGAAGAAACTCCCAAGCAATGAAGCTCAAATCCCTGTATCCGGTATTGCAAAGTCCCTCAGGCTCAAAAGGCATTTCTTCAGATACTTAACTGTGTTTCAGAGAGGCTTATCATGCTAGTTATGCCTCTACACTTACCTAGGAAGTAGAAAAAAAAGGTTTTAAAGTAACCAGGGGTCCATTTAATCTATAAACTTTTGCTTTTTTAAAAGTAAAGTTTAAAGTCTTTAGATCACATGCGTGTTCCTACAAATACCTTCTTGGCAATTGCCTAACCTTCAGACCACTAAAGCCTTTTAAAAAATGTTTACGTATCTCTTGATTCCTAGCACCGGCAAAGTGAGCTCTGTAACGTGGCTACAGCCTGAAATATAATATTTTCTCAGTTAACAGCTCAGGGGTTGCCTCTTAACCACTCTGAGGTTTGACTAGGAGGTTCCCTGCTCCCAGTTATTGCTTTTTTTTGGTCTTCCTTCTTCTTGATTTATTACCCTCCCGTCATATAGTGCTCACCCCAGTATTTAACCCAATATAGTCCTACAACAAGTACTCATATCACACAGAGCAGCCATGATTGCAGCAGCCTTACATCCATCGTATCCTGGCTCAGCCCAACGCACACGATGCTTTAATCAATGCCATTCAAATCTTTAATGTTCTGTCAGCATATGTGAAGAGACATCTTCTGCTTTTGCTGTTTGGCCACTTTACTCTTAAGTGAAATTCTTCTTCTCTATTCCTACCTTTAAGACCCACTTCACCCCTTTGTATCTCCGAACAAATCTCCTTTGCTGTCTCTT